AATTTGGCCAAATTCATCTAAGTTATAGATCCATCCTCACTGAGCATGCTCGAGTCTCTCATCTCTCCTAGTGCTGACCGCACTGTGCATGCACCATCCCCACAGAGCGACTGAGCATTCTCCCTCCAGCCCAGGGCTACAGAGGCAAACCCAAACTTTCCCTGTAATGGCTACTCCAGGCCAGGGTGGCAGAGTGACTCCCCTATTGGTACCCAGGCTGGGTGGAGGGGGTCTTATCTGCTTCAGATGCAAAGGGGACAAGATCCTGACCTAGGATATTGTGGTGGAAGGCTGGAAATTCAGATTGGGACAAGAAGCCAGGGAGTGAAGACTGGGACTGGAGGCTGAGTGGGGATGGAGACTGGGACTTGCTGGGCAAGGAGACTAGGAACAAGTGGGGTGGGAGGAAGGGAGACATGTTTGACAAGGAGCCAGCATGTGTGGGGTGAACTGCAGCTGTCTGGGCAAAGGGACAAGGAGTTTGGGGAAATGAAGACAGAGACTGAATGAGAAGCTTGAGGAAGGAGACTGGGACTTGAAGCAAGTGAGGATAGGGAACATGGGTGCGGGGAGAGGCAACTGGACACTGGAGGCTGGGGTGGAGAGGAAGATACACAGGTCAGGGCGGGAGGGAGGAAACAGACTGGCTGAGTAAGGAGGCTAGGACAGGGAGTCTGGCGGGGGTGAGACTAGGAGTTACTGAGCAAGGAGACTGGGATGGAGATCAGAAGACCTGAGGAGTGGAGACCAGCACTGACAATGTGAAGAGAATGGGACTCAGATGAGAAGCCAGTGATAGAGAAAGAGACAGGCCTGGGACAGGGATATATTGGAGGGGATAGGGAAGAAGAGTATATTCCTACTAAACGTGCTTCCCTCCAGAGCCTAGAATACAACCCAACATCCCTGAGTGTTACCATTACTCTGCTATAAGCAAATATAGGTGACACCCACTGTGAAAGCCGAATCTAGTGCTGGTCCACATAGAGAATATCAACCTACTACTACTATTAATTACTCTATCAGGTCAAGTGCTGGATCTTAAGTTTCCACCTCTGTTATGAATAATAGGGACTTCAATATGATGCCATATAATGGAATTTCTGTGTGCTTATTTTTTTCTCTTTTTCTGGTTTGCCTTTTAAAAATAATCCTAGGAAATTACATCCAAAAGTCCATTAAAAGAAAATTATTAAGGTTGCAAAGTTAAACACTCAAAAGTTAGGAAATGTCAGAGTTAAGGTTGTTTCTGCAACCTTAATTTGACCTCTTTCTGCAAATACATTATGATATAGTCTTTAATTACATGATCACATACTATTTTTATCACAGCACTCCTGCCTCATTCAGTGCACAGGATGCACAGTGCTCAATTAATGAGCAGCTATTAAATATTTTGTTTTATCTTTATTGTTCAGTGTCTGGCTTAGACCTTAATTGCTGTACACTATTCAAACCCTGCTCTGAAGACAAATTATTCATTTTCTCATTGGCTTTTTCTCTGATGCTCAACACTACAGCATCTGCTTGCTTCACAAACATTAATGAATTTATTTTCACAACACCCCTATGAAATGAGCGGGTAGCATTATCCATAGGCACCAACTTTCTCCGGTGCTGGTGGGTGCCCACGCCCCCCCCCTCTTTCCCCACCCCTGGCCCCACCCCATCCCAACCCCATCCCCAAAGTCCCTGCCCTAACTCCGCCCTATCCCTGCCCCTATTGGATCCCTTCCCCAAACCCCTGCCCCGGCCCCACCTCTTACCACAGCGCGCCACATTCCCCTTCCTCCCCCATCCCTCCCTGCCCCGCGAATCAGCTGTTTCGCGGTGCAAGCACTGGGAGGGAGAGGGGAGAAGCAGGACACGGCGGCGCGCTGGAGGCGGAGGTAACCTGGAGCGGGGGCAGGGCGGGGAGCTGCTGGTGGGTGCTGAGCACCCACCAATTTTTTTCTGTGGGTGCTCCAGCCCCGGAGCACGAAATGGAGTCGGCGCCTATAGCACTATCATAGTTTTACAGATGGAGAACTGAAGCACAGAGAGATTAAGGTCAAAAGCATCTACTAGTTTTAGGTGCCCAGTTTGAGAAACCTAGGACTTGATTTTTCAGAGTACTTAGCACTATACCTCATTTCATATATTCAAAGCAAAGCTCCCATTAGATTCAGTTGCAGCAGCGAGTGCTTGGCAGTTCTCAGACTCTAGGGTCTCAAGTTGGGCACCTAGAAAA